TTTTTTTTTTTTGAGACAGAGTCTTGCTCTGTTGCCCAGACTGGAGTTCATTGGCATGATCTCGGCTCACTACAACCTCTGCCTCCCGGGTTCAAGTGATTCTTCTGACTCAGCCTCCTGAGTAGCTGGGATTACAGGCATGTGCCACCATGCCCAGCTAATTTTCGTATTTTTAGTAGAGACGGGGTTTCACCGTGTTGGCCAGGATGGTCTCGATCTCCCGACCTCATGATCCACCTGCCTCGGCCTCCCAAAGTATTGGGATTACAAGTGTGAGCCACTGTGCCCAGCCCTGACTCACTCTTTTAACTTTTTCACCCACCTTTCCTCAGAAGTCTTTTGTTATATTAATCTGCAAAATTCCTGTTCTTGAATGGAAGCAGTAAAACAATGCCAGTGTCCTTCTTATATTGTAACAATTTTAGACTTGTAAACTCACATGTTGATTTTCTGACCTAGCCTCTATTCTCCCTAACTGCACTGATTATTTCATGAATTAATTGATTCAAGTATCTATTCACTATTAAGTGTCACTTCAACCTTTATATTTCCTCCTTTTGATTTGGATTAATATGTTTCATAAAGAATTCCTCCTGGGCGCCATGTGATCCCGACACTTTGGAAGGCCAAGGCAGGCAGATCACTTGAAGCCAGGGGTTTGACACGAGCCTGGACAATACAGTGAGATCCTGTCTCTAGGAAAAATTAACAAATTAGCTGGGAATGGTGGTGCATGCCTTTGGTCCCAGCTACGCCAGAAGCTAAGGTGAGAGGATCACTTGAACGCAAGTGGTCAAGGCTGCAGTGAGCTGTGATTGCACCACTGCACTCCACAGTGAGACCCAGTCTCAGAAAAGGGAATTCCATTTAAGATTTTTAGGCTGGGAAGTAGGAAGAATATAAATAATGAATGATGAGAAGCGAGGTAGTAAGCCATGTCTTTTTTTTTTTTTTTTTTTTTTTTTTGTTTGTTCCCTGCGTCCTCCCCCCTGGTAGCCACCATCCTGCCTTGGCTTCTGGGGTAGGTGAGACCAGAGGCATGAACCACCATTCCCAGGTGATTTGTTAATTTTTCCTAGAGATGGGGTTTCACCACGTTGGTCAGGCTGGTCTCGAACTCCTGACCTTGCAATCTGCCTGCCTTGGCGTCCCAAAGTGCTGGGATTACAGGCGTGAGCCACTGCGCCCAGCCTGTAAGATACGTCTTTCCATGACGTAAAGAAATGTTTATAGTGTGTTGGACGGGCAGGCACACATGTATGCTAGTTCATACTCTACATTGAAAGAACTTCCTTAATGGGGGTTATTTCCACATAGCAGTGTTGTATTTCATAGTCACAAAGCCATATCTGATGTGACTTTATGTATACGTCACACCAAGTGTTTGTTAATTCTAACGACATATCTTACCGCTTATTTGGTGTGGGCATTGCTTGAAAGAATACCCAGAAATTGCTCCTGTCCTGTTCACTCTTGGCAGTGTTTCTGTAACACTGTCTTTCAGGACACAAGTAAACCTGTTTTTTAAAAAATATGTATCACTGAATAGGAATTTATGTTTTAAAATAATGGATCTTAAAAGTCATCACACAGAAAGACAAAGAGTAAAACAAACTACCTTGTCTCATGCCAAAACAAATATTTTCTTAGCAAGATTATGAGTTTGGTTTTTGACTTCAGCATCCCTACACTTAAGAGACTACGTGTAAATACTCCTTCCTACTAGGAGCCAACGGTAACGGGTAAACTATGGGCTGCTGGTAAAATGCAACCAGAGCTCTGTGTGTTTCTGTACAGCCCGTTAGCGATATAAAATGATTTTTATGTTTTCAAATGGTTACATTTGAAGTGGCGACATACGTTAAGTACTTATATAATGTCCTTGGCTTCACTGTGCGTTTTGTCCACAAAGCCTAACATATTTACTCTGCTTTATTAAGAAGATACTTGCGGATCCCTGTTCTACACTCTGGAACAGTAAATTTTATAAGTTCAAGGTGCTATATAAATGCCCGTGAATGTAGCAATAATACGCAAAGATGTGGAAACCTTAATTCTACAGAAAGGATTATTATCACATTTTCAAGCTCAGCATGGGAACACAAGGGGTTGGCGGGGTGTTTAAAATATTTTAAATCTGAGAAACGACCCAATGCAGTGTGTGAAACTTGGTACGATTCTGGTTAATTACTATAAATTACATTTGAGGGAAAACTGAAATAATATAAGGACATATTTATTCTTTTTTAAAGCCCCTAAACACCATCTCTTCTTTCTGTAATAATATTTCAACTGAAAGACAATTTACCTTCCAGTCGTTAGTGTTAAATCGTATAAAATGATAGAGAATAGCAATCTCCCTGTAAAATCTGTCTCCTCAATGTAGAAACATAAGCATTTACCATTGGGTAGGATCCTCAGACGGTGATTCCTCCGTGAAAGTGAAGAGTAAGCATCTTGGGTGATAAGTGCAGATTACCTGGCAGTACTTGGCACTTGGTGTGAAAACTGTAGCAATGTCCCCTCCTTCAAAGTAGGTGTCCTTAAACAATTTAGTCACACATTCTGTGAGGCAATGCATAGCACATGTTATTTTGGATTTTAGTGGGCATATATCTAATTAGGTAATAATCTCATAAAGGCAAGACACGTAGTTTATTGAATGAATGGCCTCAGATGGAAATGAAAATCACAAAATGGTACCTTGGCTCCTATGGGACTGTGCTTATGAGTGATTGTCTTGGAGACGAGGAGCACTTTGAGGGTAACTGAATAAGTTCAAGGAAATTTACTGGCAAACTGCTGCTTTTCAGGATCTCATCCAGGTTTGGAATGAGCCTTCTGCTTTTTCCTGTCCTAATTGGGTCTCTTTGTCCAAACCCTGAACTATTTGAAACAAAGGCTCCAGAGTGATCACTTTCTGATAGCATCTGGTGGTCTGTGGTGTGATAACATCCTCACCCCATTGAGAATAATTTGGAAACTCCACCTTTTGGTGCAAAGCCATCTTACTATATTAAAATATTACTTTTAAGAAGGCTAAAGAAGAATTTTTTAAATTTATTATTATTTTTTAATTTTTTTTTAAAAGGTGGGGTTTCACCATGATGGCCGGGCTGGTCTTGAACTCCCGACCTCAGGTGATCCACCGACTTTGGCCTCCCAAAGTGCTAGGATTACAGGCGTGAGCCACAGTGCCCGGCCAAAGAAGGAGTTATTTGGTGAATCAAATACTTTTTCTATTTTTAATAATGCAAACTGGTCACAGTAGCTCATGCTTGTAATCCCAGCACTTTGGGAGGCTGAGGCAGGCAGATCGCTTGAGCTCAGGAGTTCAAAACCAGCCTGGGCAACATGGCAAGACCCTGTCTCTACAAAATAAAACAATAGCTGGGCATGGCTATGTCTGCCTGTAATCCCAGCTACTTGGAATTACAGTGGGTGGATCTCCTGAGCCTGGGAGTTTGAGGCTGCAGGGAGAGGTGACTGCACTACTGCACTACTGCTCTCCAGCCTGGGCGACAGAGCAAGATCCAAGATCCAGTTTCTCTCTCTCTCTCTCTCTCTCTCTCTCTCTCTCTCTCTCGCTGTATGTGTGTGCATGCGTGCGCGCGCACACCGTGCGCTAATTTTCTTGGAATATATCCCCCTCCTAATTGGATCATTTAATTTTACAAGACAATTTGATTTTCACTATGCCAGTCTGTGGGGGGATGGGAGTGGGGTGGGAGTTGAAAGATCCCTGGTTGGAGGCAGTGTTCACTACCTGGGTGATGGGGACACAAAGCCAACACTTCACCACTGCATAATGTATGTGCGTAAGAAATCTGCACTCACCCCTAAACATATAAACGTTTAACATTTTCAGAAAATCCACATGCAGCTTCTAGCGTCAGTAAAAACCTAGTTTTTTTCATCTGCTTTTGCGAACTAGCAAGTCTTGCTATTGTATATTGACATAGTATCCAGACATCTTACCAATTTAATTGACTCCAATAATTAACAGGATGGTGAATTTTGGATTTTTCTAGGAACACAAGCATGTCATCCATGAAAAACGAGAGCTTATGTTCCTCCGAATCATTTTCCTTTCACTTCCTTTTCTCACTGCACCAACTAGTTCCTCCATATAATACTAAATGGAAATAATGGGAGGGATTCTTTTCTTAGTCTCAATGCCTTGGGAAAGCTTTCAATCTTCCTCTATTATGTATTATGTTTCTTGAAGAATTTTGGTTTGGAGGTTTGTTTGTTTTTGTTTAAAATACCCTTTCATGGCTGATGAAAGTTCTCTTCCATTTCCAGTTTACTAAGAGTTCTGATCATTCACAGAATTTTGTCAAGCATTTTTCTGCACGTATTAATTTTTAAATTTTTTTTATTGTGATATGTAACATACCATGTGCCATTTAGCCATTCTGAGGGGACGGTTCTGTGGCGGTAAGTGCATTTACATTGCTGTGCAACCATCAGCACCACCCGCTCCAGAACTTTTTACTTTCCCCAGCTGATGCTCTGTGCCCCTTAAACACCAACTCTCACCCCTTCCCCTCACCCCTCAGCCGCTGGCAACCTCTGTTCTAATTACCATCTTTATGAAATTGACTACCCTAGGTACCTCCTATAAGTGGGATCCCACAGTATTTGTTCTTTTGTGACGCTCATTTCTCTAAGCACAATGTCCTCTAGGTTCGGTTCATTAATGTTTAGCATGTGTCAGAATTTCCTTTCTTTTTAAGGCTAAGATTCCATTGTATGTATGTGCCACCCTTTGTTTACCCAGTCACCTGGATAAACACACGGGCTGCTTCTGCCTTTTGGCCAGTGTGAATAGTGCTGCTATAAAGATGGGTGTACTAGTTTATCTTTTCAGTTCCTGCTTTCCCTTCTCTTTTCTTTTCTATGGTATGTACCCCAAAGTCACGCATCTATTAATTTTTGAATGTTAAATCAACTTTTCATTCCTGGAATAAACCTGACTTTGTCACAATATCACAATTTAATCATCCTTTAATTTCTTTTACCATTCTACTGGATTCAGTTGGATAATGTTTTGTTAGGATATTTGTACATATATTCATGAGATAAGAGACCTGTAAGTTTTTTTCCCTCAGAATTTTCCTATCAGATTCTGATGTCAGGATTACACTGACCTTATCAAATGGGTTGGAAACAATTACCTTGACCTCTCAAACATGTCTGTCTTCCATTTAATTAATTTCTGCAATTTATTTTTTCTGCCTTTCTTTGCACTTAATTTGCTATTCTCTTTCTATCTTCTTGTCATCTTATATTATTAAATTTTACCTTTTCTGTATTCTAATGTATACAAGCAAATCTATACATTTGATTTCGGCACTGATTCAGTTACATCTCAAAGTTTTGACATACTGTATTTTCATTATTGTAGATTTAATTTTCTATACCATTGTGATTTCATCTTTGATTCATATTAATTTAAAAAGGTATACTCAATTTTAAAATATTTGGGGATTTTCAGTTCCCTTTTTATTATGTTTTCAGTTCCCATTCACGATGATTGAATAACATGTTCAGCATAATTTTAACCCTTTAAAATGTGTTGAGACTTGTTTCAGAGGCTTGTGTGTGGTGAAGTTTTGTAAATGTTCCATCTGCGTGTATGAAGGACCCACATATGTACACTGACATTCCTTGATACCTGTGGGGGATTGGTGGCAAGACCTCCTGCAGATGCCAAAATCCATGAATCCTCAAGTCCCAATATAAAATGGCATCGTATGTATATATAGCCTATTCACATCCTCCTGTGTACTTTAAATCATCTCGAGATGACTTATCATACCCAATACAACGTAAATGCTATGTAAGTAGTTGTTGTGCTGTGTCATTTAGGGAATAATGACAAGAAAAAAGTCCGCACATGTTTAGTACAGATGCAGTTTTTAGAAAAATATTTTCACTTTAAGGTTGGTTGAATCCATGGATGTAGAATCCATGAATCAGGGGGTCAATTGTTTATGCCATTATTGGGTCCAGTGTTCAAAATACATCAAATTATTTAGCACTGACATATTTATCAATGAAATAACAATACAATTTCTAAATAATGATAACAAAGGAATATCATAACCTGAGCAGTAATCTTGTCACAGGAAAAATTGAAATTATGAACTGTGTAATTTGGCATATTAAGTGGAATTTATTTTTAATACCTTCACCTAGATTTGCCTTTTTTCACATATGCCAGAAAAAAAAGAATTTACTGTGCTTAAAATGCTAGCAATAGTTATCAGAAATTAAATATAATATGTATTTTCAGCTTTAATTTTAAATAAAGAATGTTTGTGGAGCCAAACAATACTTGTACTGATATATCTTACTTAATATTGGCTAAGTAATCTATAAACAAATTTAGCAGATGTGATGTAGGGTGGAGAACTAACAGGGTAGTTAAATTATTGGAATGTATAAACTATGCATGAATATCTGCATATTATTTCAGTCAAAAATTCCTATTTTATGTGTGTATGTATTTTCCATTGAGCTGACTGCTTTATGAAAAACTAATTAGTGAAGCAAATCAAGGTTTCTTCTTTTTAATATTGCTTTTAAATATGATTTAAATGAGTTACGTAGTTAGGCATGGATGTAGATATGGTATACATATAGACACAGATTCCTACCAGTACGAACAATTTTTCACCTCAGTTCCCACCCTGCTTTGAAAACCTCTGGAACCTCAAGCAAGAAATAAATAAAACCATGTTATTTCCTTCCCTGGCATAGATGGTGTGGGATTCTCCCCCATGGGTGGAGACTGTAGTGTCATTTCCCTCTGCCAGTTCATAGTTAAGAAAATGCTCTACTTACCACCAGAAACTGAAGTAAATAAAATGAAATGTACCATTTGATATAAGAAAGTCATCCTACAATGAGAAAAAGGTACACGTTTTTAGAACATGAAATGTACATTTATAATTAGTTTACTGACACAAAGATTTACGAGAAATAGGGAGAGAGGGACGTTAGTTAACTCAATAGCGTTCACAGAGTTTTCATTATAAGGTTGAATTTTATCTTTCCAAACCCTGGTGCACACCTTAGCGTGGCTGCGTGTGTAGTGTTCCACACTTACAGCTCTGCAGTGCTGGAGCCACAGGGAAGCAGCCCACTCCCCGCCCCATCCCCGCCGCCCACTGCTCACCGTAAATCAGATCCTTCTCATGCACCATCTGACCGCTCTCCCCACCCCGGTTTTTCATCTCGGTTTCCTTTCCCAATTTATTTCCTTTCTGTCTTTCCTTGAGGTCTCTCCCTATGTCTATCAAAGAGCTATGAATGATTTCCTACTTAGAAAATTTTCTGTTTAAAAAAATCTGTGGCTAATACATTAATAGATTATTTTGGTCACCTAGAAATCTATTTATTCCCACTAAGCATTAAACAGACTGCTCTAGGAAAAACAGAGTCATCAGTGAGGCAAATCAAGACCTCTGACTTTTCAGTGTTGCATTTGGATGTCTTTTTAACTCGCAAAATACTTGTTATTGCTCAGACACTGCTACTGTTCCTCTGTCCCACACCTCCTCTCAAATTCGTTATGGATAGCAGGGGAACATCTCTACAATGCTAAATCAGACACACTTTAAAAATTAATCATTCTCTATAGTGTTTTTAAATTCCTATGATTAAAAAAAAGCATTTCAAGGCATATTTGCTTGAGAGGAATGTTAAATAATAAGTTCTGAAGCTGTACCTGAAGGACCTTGTTTGCTTATTTGCTGCAATTCTTAATAAGGGCGTTTTCTTCTTCCAAAAAGAGCTTCATCCTCCTCTGATTGAGCTTGTGTAGGAAATGACCACTTACCTGTAATATTTACTTGTACTGGTTCTCAGTGTTATGTAACATTTTTTCTCAGTACAGCATATTTGGGAAAGTCCTAAAATCTTAGTATATCAGAAATGTACCTTGAGAGAATTGCTTGCTTTCTCAATACATTGAATTTATTTTTTTAAATTTTATTTCATATTTAAACAGGTGACATACACAGAGACAGCTGTAGCACTTGAATTTGCTTGCTTGTCTTAGATAGCTGTAGAACTTGATTTTGCGTGTGCAATATGTCTGCTAGCCAAAGCTGCACTTAACCAGACTTTCACCTGTCCGCTGTTAACCATTAATTCTAGCTTACCTTGAATCCCAAAGTCTAAAAAGAAAACACGGAAAGTCTAATGGACTCATGGATTTGCAATATAGTGGAGGGAGGAGACTTTGGCTGCTGGGGGAGGCGAGGTGGGTGGGAAGCAAAGGGACCGCCCCTGTGTGCCTGGCTCTTGGGAGGTCAGTTTCCTGCCAGGTAACACTGACTCTCAGA